ATCATTATAATGTTTGTAAGTGTTACATGAAAATATATAATGAAGTCACGTTTAGGAATAACCACGATAACCAGACGGATTACTCAAAGAAGTACCATAACTATCGCTACGATAACTGTATGGAGAATATGGACTCCTCGCTGCATATGTTGAGCCATATGTATTTCCATAACCATAATTATCGTATCCATCGTAACGGCCGTAATCACGTCCGTATCCTAAATTGTCGTAACCTCCAACACCATAACTCCCATAACCACCATAACCCCCATAATTACTAGGATAATATCCCTTTCCATAATCTCCACCATAGCCTCCATATCCTCGGTATCCTCCATATCCCCCATATCCGCCATACCCGGGATAATTACCATAATATCCATATCTATAATAAAGAAAATGATCTTTTCATTTTTAATTTATTTTGTACTAAATTAGAATATCGCGTGTAAATATGCGTATTTCTTCAAAAATATTTTTTCTGATATTTTATCTTTTTTCTTTTATTATATCACACGCACACGCACACGCACACATATATGTATATATATAAATTCTTATACTTTTTTATTTGTTCGTATTTATCTATTAGTTTCTTATATATAATCTAAAAGTGTAAAAATTGTGAAAATATACTTATTATATTGTACTTAATATTGATATTAATATTTAAAATAAATACAACACATATAAGCCATGGTCCGATTCATGCTGACAACGCTCATGAGTATCATTTGTCTTCGTTGAATATTTGACAAACAACAAGGATGAAAAGTTTTAAGCATTGCGAGCGTGAATCAGACCCTACGGCTATAATAGATTCTACTGATATCTATTAATTGTGACTATAATTAAATTTAAACTTTAAAGAATATGTACTCATATTTTAAATACCTAAATATTGTTCTCCTTCTCTAAATACCACATTCTGTGTAATAAAAAATTTTATAAAATCAAATCTTACCCGCCGCCAGTGAGTCCTCCTGGCCCAAGAGAACCTCCATATCCTGGAATCAGGTTGCTACCACGATATGATGTACCAGGATAAACGGATCCAATGATTCCTGTATCATATGGATATCCTCCGGGATATCTTCCAAGATATCCCCCGGGATATCCTCCAATTGATCCAGGATATCCACCTTTAGTTATATGAAACGCTAGCACAAATATTTTTTATATAAATAATAAATTACGATATTTTATATGAATGAATAATTACTGAAAATCAAGACTCAATTTCTAAAAAATTATAGCTTTTTATGAAGATTAATTTTATAATTTAGAATTTAAAAGATTGTGATTTTTTAACAATTTTTTTTTATTTTTGCTCTTGAGACCATGTTTGTAAGAAAATAGAAATTAAAAAAAATACTCGCAATTATAAATTTTCAATACATTCGGTCAGTATTTAATTTCCAAAACGTGTAAAATTAAAGTTTTCCGAAATGAGACATTGCGCGCGGTTTAGAATTTAAATTTGCGTAGACTTTCCACGAGTCAACAGTACATCATTCTTCCTCGGTAATTGATAGAGTTTACAAAATTAATGATACAATTATGTTCATCATGCGTATTTGTTAGGATTTAATTACGAATTGCGGAAATTCAAACACGTGCAGATTACGGGGGGAAAAAATAAACGTAATAGATATAATAATCGATCGCGATTCCGCACGATGTAAGGATAGTAGTGCGATGAGTAATCAGCATATTAAGTAAGTGTGTCACTGCCATTCTCACGCTCTCGACTTTGAAAGTCGGGCGCTTCCCATTACAAAAACGGAAAAAACATCGCAGGTTGTAATAAGATGCTAATATAACAAGCCACCCGAAGGACTTCCTCCTTGAGAAGAAATAGAAGTGATTCACTTCAAAGAAAATACTTCAGTATGCGTACTTCCGCATTTTCTGCAGCTCTCAAAAGAGTCTCACGCAACAAACTATGTTTCAAAAGTTACAGAATAATTAATGTAATCATGGAATAATGTCCATGTACAATAAACCCTATTATGTTATGCAACGAAGGTGCCATTAAATTGTCACATCAAAAAAGCTTGGTCGTACAGTCATGCGCTAGCGATCTCCTTGAATTACTCCGCGCGTTTAATCGTTGCAAGCAGAACTGTTCCAACTTTTTTATCCGTAAATAAAAATAAGTCCATAGTTCATAAATAATGATAACGTAGATAAATTATAAGTATCATAATAAATGTCAATCATGCATAAGATCATAAATTATACATATGCGTAAATGTTGGTAAAATATATATGTAAGTATGAATAAGGTATTGTTGTTTTCTTACTTCGATCACTCGCAGATTCAACCAAATCTCCCTGATTCCGTGTGTTATCCGGATATACATTTTGTGCACTATTTACCGGCGATAATTTTGTGAGTAATTTTAATTCATCCGGAGATTCATTCGCGCTGCGGCATATTGCAATTAGACTGAAAGTCGATATCTGAAAACATGCATAGTAATTACATACAGTATTTGGTAACGCAAAAACAATTGTATACGTAATTAAATAACATGATTAAAGCACTGCTGTTCACACTGTTGTTTAATTTGCGCTTCAATTTGCGCTTCAATTTGCGGTTCAATTCGTATAGCCGTAGTTTGTTACAGTCAGATGTTGTCACTATATGATATGTATATATGCAGATTGCAAAGTGTTAATATAACATTAAATATAATGTACTAATAATTTAAAATGTATTATATGTATTCGCGTGTTATGAATGTTTTTTATCTAATATATTATATTATTATATCTCACATATATGGAATATTGATATTCAATATTTAATATTAAAAATTAAAGGAATTATAAAATTCATATTAATAAAAAAATTACTCGACATTAAGCTGAATGAAGCGGTTTAATGTCAAATTTGATAGTTTAATTTACCCAGTATACTCTTAAACGTGGAAGATTTATGCATAGGTTTTTTTACATTCTCTCTGTATTGTAATATGGATTGATAATATTAGTAACAATAATAAAGTAATACTTAATCGAACTGCTGCGAAAATGCATTTTTATCTGCGTTATTGATATCGTTGGATTTTTTAAGGAACTTATCTCGTGTTGCAAAAATTTATAATAGATTTTGCATTTATCACGATAATTATCGTATGATACGTCTATTTTGTCGTAATTTCTATTTTCGATAGTATATAAGAATACTTCCATAAATAATCATATATTTAAAATTAAATTACTGTGCTTATATATATTTTACTGATTAATTTTTAATAAATGTTAGTACTTATCAATAACGGTGATAACAAAACGTGATATAATAACAGTATGGATGATGTAAATAAGTATGTATATAAGATGTAAATGCAATTAAGTTTAAATTTGATAATCAGAATAGTTACACTATTCGCAATCGGTGAACGTGTTTTTTTAACTTTATTCTTTATTATCATAATAATTCGCGATCGTCGTGAGCAAATTTGCATTCGATGTAAGGAACGATATTTAAAAAAATTTAATATTTCAATAATGTTTCAATTGAATTTGAAAAAGAAAAGAATATTTAATTTACTTACAATAAAGAACAACTTCATATTGCCGATGTCACTACTTGCATTTTTCGGAGAAACACAGTGTTTGAGACACGTAAAGATCTGTTCTCATACTGGTGTGCAAAACCTCTATATATTCTCTCCTCTAACATCATGTCAATATGCCCCTCTTCATACTTCAAGGTGGTCTCGGTTGTTTAAGCTTAGGTCGCTCTTAAGAGCCGCGCTGACAAGGACGTTGACAAGAATCGGTAAGACACGCCCAAAGGTATGGAAACTATCTTTCCGCTTTACATTTTTCCATTCAAATACACATACAATAGTTTCTGAGGTTGTTATATAAGTACCTCGCAAGTCCCCATGTCTATATGCAGAGTCACATCATTTTGTAATAGTGGGTTTTTTCTGAGGAAATTGTAATCACGAAATTAAAGAAAGCAGTATTTGTTGTTTTAATTACAAATGTTATTTCTATTATTACGCAATTATCAATTCATTATATTTAAAAAAAATAAAGATAAATAAAAAAATGTAATTTTTAAATTTTTATGCTTAATTATTGATATTTAACATAAAAAGAAGAAAAAGCATTCAATCGAATGTTTTCAGATTTGTCAAAATTGTTAACTTTCAATTGTTTAAAGAATTTATCCTAATTTTTTCTTTTGATTCTATACTTGTAAAATGCTAAAAAGAAATTTCTTTTATATATATATATTTTTTTTTGTTTTGTTTTGTTTGAATACAATATTATATAATACTGTTTTCTATATGTGTTAGAAACATTGAAAATGTTTCTCACAATTATGATTTATTTCAGATTATTTTATTTCTTTTAAAAGATTAATTTCTCTTCATCGTACAGTCACTTTTAATTCTGAAGTTTATATAAAGACTGTATAAAGACTCTGACAATATTTCATAAATTAAAATGTGTAAAATAAAACGTTTTATCTTATTTCCTTATCTTACATTCCTTTCTCTTACACTAATTTCTATGGAATTCCATTTCTGCTAATTTCAAGAACAGAGTATTGTTTTAGTATACTATATTTTTTTTAGAAATGTCGGTCTTATGCAAAGTGCATACATGTCGTAAATGCAAAAAGCCGTCGGAACTTTTGCAATTATAATCTGAAAGACAACAAACTTTCTCTTCCCGGAAACTTTATCAGTACCTATGTAACCATCCTAATTCCGTATTGTACATACATATATACGCTCTTGCGCTAAAAAGAGCAAACAATATTTCGTAATAAAAGAACAGTACATTTTTTCATAAAGTTAATTTATTACTATTATTATTCACTTTTATTAAATCGACCGTTATTCTATCGTTTTTCATTTCAGTATAGTTTATTTAAAAACAAAAGTGCACAGTAAATATATTGTGTCATATATTTTAATCATTTATACATATAATATATTGTAAAACTCACGGAAAATCTAAGAAAATATATCATAAATTTGAGTAATTTTTATAAAAAAACAAATAAGTCATTTTTACTACTATGCGAAAATAGTAGTAATAAAAAAAATAGTGTTCAAGATTTTAAATATCATAATACTTCTTATATTTTATTTTTTTTTTTTTAGAAAAAAGTGATTTGATCCATTTAACTGCATTTTATTGCAATAAAAGTCATGAAAAATCTCACAAAATGTACTGTTATATTAATTCGAAAAATTTTTATAAAAAATCATTAGCCATTTTGATTACTAAAAATACTAATATAGTTACAGTATTGAAAAAGAAGCACGTGTTTGCGTGTGTTCACGCATGATTTCCCAGTTTCGGCTGCGTCAGTCGAAGAGAAGGCCGTAAAATTAGTCGCAAGTAGTTCAAGATCGCGCGACGTGTAACGCAATTCATTCTCAAGGGATGACAGTGCTCGCATTACACGGCGATTAATGGACTCGCGTGTCACGAAGCAATACACGTAACGATTCTGTACGCCCCTTCATTCTCACGTGCCGCAATTGTGACCACACACGTGCCCTTTCGATCGATCTTCGAACTGATCTTTAAATTGAACGTAACCACGAAAGTTACTTTCTTCATAAAATCAAATTATTTCGTATTTTATATTTCGTTATTTAATAAAAGTAAAAAACACTAAACAGTTTCTCAAGTAAGGGTTTCAGACACCGTTTAAATAATTGGTGATTAATGCGCCCTACGTTTCAAGTTAATTACAAAAAAATGTATATTTTTATCATTTTTAACAAATTTATGAGCAAAATATTTATGTATAAATTATTAAATTTTAAATTCGTTTATGTATTAATATAAATTGTATACATAGATATTAATCGACTTGAACGTTGTATCATATTATAGTTAATCTGAAAATGGCGGACGGTGTCTAAATTCTAAGACTAGATGCGTTAAAAAAGAACTAGAAATTAATCCTTAAGTCTTAATATAAAAAATCGTATCATTTTTTGAACCATTTTTACACATACAATATTGGCATAGTCTCTTAAATTGTCTATTAGCAGTTATTATCAAATATTATTCGTATTACATTAATATTAAAAAGTATTAACTTAAATTAACCCTCGACTAAGAAATTCATTATAAAATTATTCGAGGAAAAGTTTTTCCAATTGGAATAATTTTGTTCGTGTTATAAACATTTAAATGAAATATGCAAAAGTTTCTTGTCAATAAAATTATGTATGAAACGCGTGAATATTTAGGAAGAATGAAGTAAAATAGGAGGAATATTATTCTAAACTTTATTAAGATAACAATACACCTCGGCAAAACTTATATAATTATAAGTCAAATCATGACGTTGAGCAAGAATAGAGCTATACGAGCGACGAATTATGATTTTCTCAAATCTCAAAGTTTATTTTCATTTTCTATAATAAAAGGACAAGACCATCTTTAAGAACTATAATTAGCAGTTGAAATGTTTAAGCTAAAAAAATGTTCATTATTGCTTAAGGTTTTAACAGAAAGGAGGATATCAATCAAATAAAAGGATATAAGAATAGAGATCAGCACATATATAGTTAACATAAGATAAAGATATATTGAGTATACTTGTATTAGGTGTCTCATTGTTAAGGATATTGTTTAAAAAAAAAATTCCATTTCTTATAGAAATCTAACATAATTATCAAACGACAGTAATTAATTACTTATTTTAAGCATTAAAAGCACTACTTTTCAGTACTTTTTAATACTCTAAATAAATAATTAATTATTGACTTTTAATAATAAATTGACCAATATTTTAGATTTTTGTGAGGAATTTTCAAAATATTAAAACTCTCAAAATCCTAAGATAAAAATTCTAACACGCGACACACATTATACACATTCTGCATACATTTACGGCTTTAACACCTTTGTTATTTTTATGGATGATCCTTTGGTGATCAAGAATTGCAATCGATATAAAAAATACCGATATTGATATTTTATGTTTTTTATTACATATACATAATCAACATGATTATTAATTTATATTAAATAAAACATAATAGAATTTATACAACTGAATAATAGTCAAAGAAAATTCACTCGTTTATTTCGAAATCTGTGTCTATTATTCATAAAAGTCCATAACATAAAAACATCATCAATTTAGGTCTCATCGTGATTGTTCAAAAGTCATTCAGTAGCGAGGGAAATTAACCCGCACTCATACTTTTGCATTCCTTAAATAATAGCATCTATGAAGTATAACGCAATATGATTTGCGGTCATTGATGCCTCGACTATATAAATTAAAACGCTTATTAGGGAAAGCTCATGAGTGACGTCTTTAAAATTATTTTGACGTCAAAATAAGAACAAACGACGTCACTTTTCTATATGCCTTAAATTCACATTTTAAAATAATAATCATATATATCTCTCTCTTTATCATTCTCAACAATAAACTGCCGATTGCGCGTAAAGGTACGTTTATGTTGGTGCAATAATAGAAACTTTAAAAACAGCGACAAGGACGGCGCTAGAAGCTTAAATTAATTCTATCTTTCTTTGATGTGTTTATAGAAACAGTGATATTTATATGATACTTAGCATAATTTCAGTTGTTAACTGAGATAAAACATTTTCAAAAGATAGAATTGTGATCATCGGCCTTATCGCCGCTCTTTTATAGTTTTTATCACTATTTCAACATAAATGCATTCCAAAATGCAAGCGATAAAAGAGGAAGTCAACAATAGGAATCAACGTGAAAATTAAGCCAAAAGTTGTATTTAAGTCCATTGTTTTGGGGCGTTTATGACCTTATGTATATAAAGTGCTAAAAACCTGCATTTGCAAAATTCGAAACTATGTTGAGTATACTATAATGAGTTAAACGTAAACCTTATTCTATGTCAAGATGCCGAATGACCTTGTAAATGCAGGCCTGGAAAAGTTCCTTCGTAAATTAAATATCAAATCAAAATGACGAATCATTTTTCGTAAATAATCCTCGTAAATGGAAATAGACAATTAAATTCTTGTTTTTCATGTAATTTTTGTAACAAGCTTGAATTTATTTTTTTGCATGCGGTATTTTAATATAATGTTAAATTATCAAGATGTTTATATTAAAAAGCTACAGTATGTCATACAATCAGATTTTGATCAAAAAATCCGAAAATAAAATTTGCTACAAAGTTGTCGAATACTCCGTGTTGCCGCAACAATTACGTAAACGATAGTTAGTATTGAATGCAGTATGAGTACGAATCGTTATATTTAAAGATGACATTATGCACTGATTCATGCAAGGTTAAAAGCTAATTCCGTTAAAAACAATGTTTATACTGAAAAAGAAAGTATTACAATCGTTATAGTATAAATTACGTAATTATCAATTGATAATACTGAAGAATACATTTTGGACTAATCTTCTGTTACAAGATCAATTAAACACTATAGTATTTACAAAATTTCGATAGTAAAAATATTGCAGCGCTGCCATCCAATCATCAATTAGATATTAAAAAAGTAACTGCTTTTTGACAGAAAAAGTGACATTTTTTATTAAATTTCCAATTAAGGCTATTTAAGTAAAAGAAATAATGTTTACTCTTATTTTCTCTGTGATCCACCTTTGGATCCTAATAGATTTTCTATACAATAAACCATTATTTAATAAGTTTTAAGTCTTAAGCCATAAGAGAAATTAACCAATCATAGTTAATTATTCTTCTCATATTCGATTGTAATTGATCAATTTTTTATGGCCTAAAGTTTGAAGCTCAAATAATGATTTTTTTGTAGAATGGGTGTGAATAAACATAAAGCAAATTTTTTTTTCGTACTTTGAAAGTTTATAAGGAAAGAATAAGGTCTTGAACGATAGAATACAAGTACATCTAATGCAGTTTTATTAAATAAAATAAATATAGTGTATTTTATTTCAAATATAATAAACTAAAGCGTTTTGTCAAAAAAGTGACAAAAAGCGACTTAAGTTACTGAATGGCAGCTCTGATATTGCTCAGGAAAATAGCGAAGAAACAAATATGAACACTTATCTTCGCTGATTAAATAGGTAATTCGCGAAAAGTGTAGAGTACAAACATAGCAAGAGTCATCTAGTCTATTCTGCTTGATTATTAAGCTCTTTGGCCCATCACTGCAATCATGCTGAATTATGATATAATAAAAGATCAGATTATGATCTAATAAAAGAAATATATTTACTTCGTATTTATCAAAGTTACTTTTTTCATCTGTCGTTGCTAATAAGAATTTATGTATATTGAAGATATGAGCATATAATAATAATTATAATTTGATACACAATGATTAAATAATTTCAATAACAGACCGAGAATCGTAAAGTCCATAAATCAAATCAGACATTGAAGATTGAGGATTGTAAACTGGAGATTAAAATTTTTTTAAAAGATATAACTTTAATCTTAACCTGCTTTGTTTTGATTGGTTAAATTCTAATCTCTATTTTGCGATTCTTAATCTCCAATGCATGATCTGATATGAATTTAAGAAAAATTTTTTGTAAAAAATTAATTTAATTCACAAAGAGTCAAGAGGTGGAAATTCCAAACGTGATGTTTTGAAATATCAGATTATATCACTCATTGTATGTATAATAGTATATACTTTTTCAAGTGCAGCACAACATACGAATGATCTTTTTATCTCTATACATATATGCTTCGCAAATTAAGTAGACAAACGTGATTGATCGAGTTAGGTATTAAATAGTATGCAAGTTTCTCTGAATTTAGTGCAGATTTGTCTTCTATAGTTTTACTTCCTTATCGAACATGTATGATTCGACATATATGATTCGCTGTTAGGTGTGATCAAAAGATGACAAGTTATTCAATGAACAACATAATGGCTCGCGTAGATGTTTCCCAGACTGCCTGAAATCACGAAAGCCAGATTGTCTCCTAGCATAGAAGAAAACAGACCCCAACTAGGCTGGATCTTGATTAATATTAGGATGTCGAAGCGTCATAAGTCAGGAAATCTGCAAAGCAATTGTTAATGATTAGTACAAAAAAAGTGTCATTTATAGTGTGAATGCTGCAAAATGATATAAAAAAAGAGTTGCACGGACGAGTATATATGTATATAATTAAATAGCATTATACACAACTATATTTTTTTAATTTGTAAGACATAAATAAATTTTGTTTAATATAAAAAAATTAACCCTTTAACTATTGCAGGCAATCGCAAAAATCTGCAAAAAGTGCCAAGCAAGCATAATGACTCCACTGTTGGATCATTTTTATTAGAAATGTCAAAAGTTAATTAGTCAAAATGTATAATTCTATATTTGTTCTATTGATGACATAATTAAATTAAATAAAGATCATATAATTTGTTAACGAGAAAAAAAAGTTTGTTAAAATAACAACAAATCCAATAACGCTCTTTTTATTTTTATCTTGACGTTTATCCTCGAGCACATGACGCGGTATGAAGAACCATCATCATAGTTAGGTACGCACCGTAATTTCTGAAACGTATTATTATGGCTTCAAACTTAAGATAATATATCAAAAAAACAAAAATTTTCGATACTTAATTTATTCGTGTTCTGTTCTCAAAAGGTCAGAAATAAAAAAGATCGCTGTATATTTTATAGATTTTTTAATATAATCTTCGTTTACATCAAATAAATAAAAAATTTTTAAGATATTTACAAGAAAATATATTCTAAAATGATGAATTTTACAAAAATGATAAATTGGGATTGTATTAATTTTTTGAGCACAATCTATAAAATAATACAGTATCTAATTTACTTTATCGAAAGCGAATTTTACCTCATTGGGTCTTCGAAGTAGTCTGATGGCACTTGAAACAATTCTGGATCTATATCATTTCGGAAGGCAAATTCTTGAAAAGTTATTTTAGCAGTGACTGTAGGCAAAATCGGTATGTCAATCTTAACTGGGAATCCAGGGGGCAACTTCATAAGTACGAATTGGCGTAGCTTGCTTAAATGCTTAAACGGCGTGATCACTTCCAAAACATTGAGTAGCATATCGACGGTAAGGGGAAAATCTGGACTCATTGCCACAGTAGCTTTGAAAGATTTACTACTTTCCTTATAAACGAGATTTCTTCCTAGAAGTGGACACTGACCAGGTGGAGCGACGACGTATTCATCCCAGGTTATATTCGATTTCGGTGGCGGATTCAACGATGCTCTTCTCACAGGAGGCTAAGTAAATAAACATTTATTTTATTTTCTATTAAAATCCTTTGACTATATATACGCATACATTTTAAAATATAACATATTTTCTGCTTATCTTTCGTATGTACATTTATCACAAAAGTAAACTTTATGACATATAATAAAATTTTAGCTTCTGTTAATTTTAAACATGGACAATAGCTTGAAAAAGAACTAATTTATTTTGAATATTGCAAGAAATAAAAATCTCAAAGCAATAATACATGTTATGTTACAACATATTACCTCGCCATTTTTAAATCCTTGAGAACTGCCTTTAGTAAGGGATTCCATAATGGCTTTATTTTTTTGAAGATCTTCCTCGCTTAAATGCTCACGACGTTTTCTACTTTCTAATACCATACCATTGATTTGATAAAAATCAGCGTGAAAAGCGCCTACCATTTCCTAGTTTTAAATATTTATAATAAAATATTATAAATAATAAAATATTATAAATAATAAAATATTATAAATAATAAAATATTATATATTAATTAAAAAATATTTTGTCTCTATTTCATTATGTCACATTTTTAAGTCAATTTTATTATTATAAAATATCTCCGATTTAATTACTCTGCCTAAATTATTAAAACTTCTGAAGAATTCAAAGAAAACATCATTAGTGTGGAATTATGATATTACACAGTTTACTGTTAATATTAATATTATTATATTTTAAATTGTAACATTGTTATTAAATTATCCTAATTTCTCATTAAGGACCCTGATTGTGGGTCGAAACGTTTGAGAAGAGTTTCTGTAATACATAATAAAATTGGTTACACAACAATAACTGGCGTCGGCTTTTAAAGGCTTTTTTCCTATTCGTGATTTATTTCAGCAGAACTTTAGACATATTATTAATATGTTAATATCAATACAGTAAAAACATGCTCACCCTTTTGTCCTCTCTAAAAATCCATCCTGTCTGCGCTCTAGAAAATGTGATACTTTTAGTAGACATTTGCGCTACCATAATATCACTAGACATAAGAATATCAACTTCATCCTCTATTTCAAGCTCTGTTTCCTAAATACAAAAAAAGGATTCTTTCAATATAACATATCGATATAATGTTAATGTAACAATTTTAGTATATGTATGTACAAGATTAATGATGTAATAAATAAAAAATCTAATAACTGCCTAGATTGTTCTTTGTCATTGTAGAACTATCTCAACATAAAATAATAGTCTCAAATTAGTCATATTTATTACGTATTATGTATATGTTAAGACATCTATTGAAGCTGGAGTTTTCATTATATGTATAAATATAAAATATAAAATATAAAATTTATAGATATATCAAAATAAGTTTTTTGCATATACACATGAAAGCATATACATAAAGAAAATAAATGGATTTAATGTACTATTAACCTCATATCTCACTCTTTGGAAAAGTTTGGCTTTATTGTCGAGGACAGTCAATGAATGGCTAGGCTTTTGGTCACCATTAAAGATGAAAGATATGTCACCCCTCTCCCACCTCATATCATTAAAATCTACAAGAGTCGTATCCATCCTAATTGAAGCTCCACTTTTGTGGATCTTACATATATCTGACGGCAACACTCTCGAGACTAGAGGTACTGAAAGAACAAACGAATTTATCATTGGCTGACAGAAAATATAAAGAATTATGCAGAATATACAAAATAAAATAAGTCATTTGATTGAATCATCACAGCAAAATTTTTAATAAACTTAATAAAATATATTTTCTTTTCAAAGATTTTTTGTAAAGAGAATATCGATAATTATATATAAATTCTTTTTAGTTTGCTCACATAAGCGTATATATTAATTTTTTAATATGCATTTATAGAATATTTATAATAAATAATAACAATTTTTATATTAATATTTATATTAATAAAAGGAAAATGTTTTTTAAATAGTGTCTATAAGTTATTCGTAGTTTCAGATTTAATCAGCACTCAATTTCATCGAAACTCACCCCAACTTTGAAAATCCCACTTTAATTCCATATAAAAATCACCCATTTGATGCAACGCAGCTACTAAATTCGGCCTTCTTTCTTCCATTTGCTCTCTTGCTTGTTGCTTCAATTTACGTACTAAAGATGATACTACGAAAAACATTTTTAAATTAATCTTATGCATTATAATTATAGAATATAAGATGTATCATTCCTACTAGATCATCTGCATGTTAAAATTCACTTATAACTTATAAAAACTGAAATTAATGCTTTATACTAGGAATTGTTTTTCAAATTATCTAAGTAAATCTATCAACTAATTTATTAGAAGTGAAATACTTTCTGTATAAATATGTTACAATACATTATACAAAGTGTATACAAGTTAAATAAGAGAAATTAAAACTTAAATTTTAACTATTCTTTTTATAACTGATATATCTCTTATTAAAATAGGTAATTTCTAAATCTATTATTATATTATTTCATACGAACTGGTTATTCTATCTCCGTAACTAATTGCTTCGGCCAATGGACTCCAACCAGCTAGATTCTTTACCTTTACAGGTGCCCCGTGTGTAAGCAATAATTGAACACATGCTGTAATGTAATGAAACAAACTGTATATCAGATCTATTCCAATTTTAAAAATTAATTTTAATATTTTACAGCCTCAATTTTAACGTTTGAATTTTATAAGTACATATATAATTCATTATCAGTTCATATATCATATCTTTAACATCTGACATATAATAACAGGAATAAAATTATATTTTTTAAACATTCTAATGCAAAAAAATAAGACAAAAGATGTCCATACCTTTTCTTCCTAACATCACAGCTAAATGCAAAGGTGTGTTTCCTGTAACACACATGAAAGATTAAAATGTGT